GGGTCCCTGGATGTTCGGGTTCCTGTCCTGTATCTGAGGGCCTGAGGGGCGGGGCTTCAGATCACCAGAGGGAGGAGTTGTCGGTCTAGCCAATCATTGAGGTGAAGACCCTGGGGGAAGGCGTGAAGGCACCACCCACTACGTGTAGAGGGCCTCTAGCTCCGCCCTACCCCTGCAGTCACCCGGGGAGACCCCGGGCAGAGTTCCCGTATGTGGCGTGTCTGGACATTTGTGTCAGGCGTGTGAGGGAGTTGAGGCTAGCTGTGAGTGGAACCGACTTACGTCAGAAGAAAGAGGAATCCTAGGCTCCGCCAGGCTTCGAGGTGAGAACCCTGAGGGAGGAGGTGGAGACGTCCCTCCACTGAGATGGGGGCTGAGGCTCGCCCAGCCATCAACTCTGGGAAACCCCAAACAGAGGTGGTCAGATATGGCATGTCGTGACTTACATTTCGGGAGCCTGAGGACATGACACTTTGTCTGAGGTGCTTCCGACTCAGGTCAGCAGAGGGACAGCCTCAGGCATTTCCGGGCACAGGGTGAGGACCCTGAAGGAGAGTGGAGGCTCTGCTCACTGCAGATGGAGGTGTGTGTGGTGGCGGGGGGGCGGCAAGCCGCGCCAAGCCCTTGCTGTTAGTGCTGAGAAACCACAGGCACGGGTCCCGAATATTTTGTCTCGATTTCCATTTTGGGAGTCTGAGGGACGTGAGACTTGTTAGAGCTGCACTCGGGTCAGCGGAGGGACGCCTCCCAGGTCTTGCCCGCACAAGGTAGGACCCCGAGGGAGGAGACCTCTCACCACAGAGTGGGTGCGCTGCCCCCACCCCGCCCCTTTTGTCAGCCCCGGAGGCCCCTCTCAGGGCCCTGGATGTGTTGTGTCCAGACCCCCATCTTGGGAGTTTGAGAGACGTGAGGCTTTTTTTGATCGAAGCAGATTCAGGTTGCCAGAGGGAGAAGTCCCAGGCCGTGGCAGGCATTAAAGCGAGGACTCTGAGAAAGGACCGAGAGGAGCTCTCACTGCAGAGGGGTGCCGCAACCCTTCTCGCCTGTCCCTGTTGTTTGCCCGGAAGGCTCCACGCAGGCCCCGGTGTGATGTATCCAGGTGTGGTGTATCTGGACGTTCATCTTTGGAGCCTGAGGGCATGAGGCTTTTCCTGAGGGGGTGCAGGCTCACGTCAGTAGAGGGAGGAGTCCTAGGCCCTGTCAGGCATCAAGTTGAGGACCCTGAGGGAAAAGTGCAGGGACCTCCCAGTCCAGACTGTGGGGGCCCCTTATGAGCCTGCCCTTTGTGTCAGCCCTGAGGAGACTTGAACAGGGCTGTGGAGCACAGGGGCAATTCTTTATCCCCCGACTTACTTCTCTGGCATCTCAAGGAGATGGTGGCCATGGGTTGAGGGGCCAGCCTCAGGTCAGCAGAAGGGAGGGTATGCAGACCCTGTCAAGAATAAATATGAATACCTGGGCGCCTGGGTGGCTCAGTCGTTAAGCGTCTGCCTTCGGCTCAGGTCATGATCCCAGGGTCCTGGGATCGAGTCCCACATCGGGCTCCCTGCTCGGCAGGAAGCCTGCTTCTCCCTCTCCCACTCCCCCTGCTTGTGTTCCTGCTCTCGCTATCTCTCTCTCTGTCAAATTAAAAAAAAAAAAAAAAAATCTTAAAAAAAAAATGTTTAAAAAAAAAAAAGAATAAATATGAATACTTTTAGGATGGATAATGGGACCTTCTACTGCAGACAGAGGGAGTCTACTCTGCCCCTGCTGTCAGCCTCGGGAGGACTCAGCAATGGTGGTCAGATGTGGTGTGCCCTCAGTTCTTCCAGGGAGTGGTGGGGCTCGTCTCATGGCAGTGAGGCCTTTGTCTGAGGGGGCAATATGAATACCTTAAGGGAAGACAGAAGATATCCTCCCACTGCAGAACAGATGGGATTCAGCCCCTGCTGTGAGCCCTAGGAGGTGACAGGATGTGGCTTCTCTTTACTTTTGTTTGGAGGTTCTCAAGGGAATGAGGACCTAGGTCTGAAGGGGCAAGGGCAGCTTCATAAAGGGAGGAATCCCAGGCCCCACCAGGGTTCAGTTTAAGGACTCAGGGCACCCCCTTCATCAGAGCAGATGGGACCCAGTGCTTCTCCACCCTTGCTGTCAAGGGTCCCAGAGAAGTGAAAACCTTGGTTTAATGGATGTAGCCTGAGTGCAGCAGAGGGAGGAATACTGTGCTCTGCCAAGTATCAAGATGAGGACTCTGAGGGAGGATTTAGAGGACCTCTCATCCTATAGAGAGAGGTCTTACAGAAACTTGCCCCTGCCTAATGGGCCCTGGGAGGCCACACAGCAGGGTTGCCAAATATAGTGCTTCTTGATTTCCACTTTGGGAGTCTGAGGGAGGTGAGGCTGTTTCTGAGGGTTGTAACCTCAGGTTAATAGAGGGTACAGTCCAGGCCCTGCCAGGCATCAAGGAGAGGACCACGAGGGAGGATTGAGAGGACCTTCCACCCCAGATAGATGTGGTCTTGGTCTACCTTGAAAATACCCCAAGAGAGAGGAGGCCCCAGCCATGCCCTGCCCCTCCTGTCAACCCCAGGAGTCCACAGGCAAGGTTGGCTAGATGTGACATTTCCTTACTTTTGTCTGGGGGAGAGTCTTAGAGAGGTGAGGACCTTGGTCTGAGGAGGTGACACATCAGTTCAGAAGAAGGAGGAGTCCCGGGCTCTGTCAGGAATCAAGGTAAGGACCCTTGGTGAAGCCTGAAACCACCCCCCCTCCCTGAAAAGAAGGACGTCACAGAATCTCAGCCCTGGGAGGATCTGAGCAGGGTGGCTGGGTGGGAGGAACTCTCACTTCTGCTATAGACTCTACCAAGAATCAAGGGGATAGAGGGGCTCACGGAGGTGAGGTCTTGGTTGGAGGGGGAGACTTCAGGTCAGCAGAGGGTAGGATAGGCCTTGCCAGGAGTACAGGCAGGTGTGGCTGGATTTGGTGACTTTTTACTTTTGTTTGGAGTATCCCAGGGAGTTGAAGGGCTTGGTCTGAGCTGGTGACATCAACAGAGGGAGGAATCCCAGGATCTGTGACAAGTCAAGGTAAGGTAAGGACCTTGAAGGAAGACTAAGGGCACCCCCAACCCAGACAGACGGAGCCTCACAGAAACTTCACCCTGTCCCCACTGTCCACCCTGGGAGGATCTGGGTAGGAATGCCCAGATGTGGTACATCCTCACTTCCTGCATGGGGTAGGTGGAGGTATCTCTGAGAAATGAGACCTTGGTCTGAGAGGGTGATTTCAGGTCACCAGAGGAAGTGGGCCCAGGCCCTGCCACAAGTAAAGAATACCTTGAGGGAAGACAGAGGGAACCCCTCCCCCAATCTGGGACAGATGGGGTGTAGCCCCTGCTGTCAGCCCTGGGAGACCCTGGGAAGTAGTGGCTGGCTGTGATGTCTCTTCACTTTTGTCTTGAGGGACTTGGAGCTGAGGTCTTTAGTCTAAATGTGAAGGCAGGTCAGCTGAGAAGCCACATCAGGTCAGAAGAGGAAGGAGTCCCAAGCTCTACCAGGAGTCAAGGTAAGGACCTTTGGTGAAGAACAAAGGTACTTCCCACCCCAGAAAGAAGAGACCCCATAAAGACTGGCTCACTTCTTTTCTCAGCCCTGGGACAACCCAAGCAGGGTTGCCTGGATATAGTATGCCCTCACTTTCCCAAGGTGAGGGAGGTGTCCCAGAGAGGTGAGGTCATGGCCTGAGGGGTGATATTCAGTCAGCAGGGAGTAGCCTGGGCTGTGCCAAGAGTAAAGATGAATGCCATGAAGGGAGGATTGAGGATAGTCCCACCACAGAACAGGTGGGGCCCTCCCCTTGTTGTCAGCACTGGAAGGATCTAGTAAAGGTGGCAAGATATGGTGCCTCTTCATTTTTGTGCAGGGGTTCTCAGGAAGGTGCAGGTCTTGCTCTGAGGAGGAGACACATCAGGACAGCAGAGGGAGGAGTCCCAGTCTCTGCCAGGTTTTAAGATAGGGACCCTGAGTGAGGACTGATGGCATACACAGCCCTACCCTGCCCCTGCTGTCAGCTCTGGGAGGTCCTGGGGCATAGTGAACAGATATGGTGTGCCTTCAGTCCTTTCTTGGTGGTCTCAGGGAGGTGAAGGCTTGTTTTGAAGGGGCCAGACTTAGGAAAACAGAGGGAGGAGTCCCAGGCTCTACCAGGCATCAATGTGAGGAATGAGGGTAACCCTCAGCTAGGAGAGAGGGATTCTCACAGACTTTGGCCACCCTTGCTGTCATCCAGGGAAGCCCTGGGCTTTTATGGTCAAATGTGTTGCTCTTTCACTTCCTTCTCATTGGTCTCAGGAATGTGAGCTCCTTTTCTGAAAATTTTACCTTACACTAGCAGAGGCAGGGATGTTGGGGAGGGGTTGGCTGCAGTGGCGTGGTGGTGGTGGGGGTAGTGGGCAGGCCTTGTTAGGGGAAAGGTGAGAACCTTAGTGAGCACAGAGGGGATCATCCACTGCAGGATAGTAGGGATCTCCCAGAGCCTGGCCCCTCCTCCCCTGTTCAGGGCTCCAGAACTATGAGGTGAGGTCTTGGTGTGAGGCACATGTCCTCAGGTCAGCAGAGCAGAGGAGGCCTAGGCAGTGCTAGGAGCCAAGGTGAGGTACACACCTTGAATGTCTACTAAGGACTCCACCCATGTCAGAACAGAAGGGACCCCAGAGTGCCCAACTTCACCTGCCCACAGTCAGCTCTGGAAGACTTGAGCTGTGCTGGCTGGCTGCACCCTGAAGCGCTTTCTTATATCCTCCTATAGGTTTCTAGGAAACAAACTGTCCAGGAAGACAGAAGTTCTGTGAGAACCTAGAGCACCCCCCAAAGAGCCTGTAAGTTGGCCTTTGTCAGAGCTGCCAAGGGTGTTTCTCTGCTGAGACTGCTAACCCTCTTCCTCCCTCCCATAGGCCGGTGGTACCCCATCTCCCATTGTCTTGCTCATACTTCTTGCTACTGCCAACAAGAGTCATCATGCCTCACTCTCCAAAGCGTCTACGCCTCACATTTGAGCCAGACTTTCAAGCCCAAAGTGAGATACAAGGCCTAGAAGTGGCAGATGTTCTTGTAGCTGAGGACGAGGAGACTTCCTCTATTTCCAGTTGCTCTTTCAACTTCTCTTACCCCTCCACCTCCGCCTCCCCGCCTTCCTCTCCTGTGATCCCAGTCTCCCTAGAGGAGGAGGAGGAAGAGGAGCCTGCTGCAACCCTGAGTCCTCCCCAGAGTCCTCAGAGCTCCTGCTCCTTCTCTGCATCATGGAGCACATCAGAAGGAGTCTCCAGCAGCCAAGAAAAAGATACAAGTTCCCCTTACACCTCAACAGACACTGAATCTTTGCCCAGAGACCCACTAGATGAGAAGGTGGCTGATTTGGTACATTTCATGGTCCTCAAGTATCGGCTGAAGGAGCCTATCACAAAGGCAGAAATGCTAAAGTTTGTCATCAAAAGGTACAAGAAACAATTCCCTGTGATCTTCCAGAAAGCGTCTAAGTGTTTGGAGGTGATCTCTGGCATTGATGTGAAGGAAGTGGACCCCACCACCCACTCCTATGTCCTTGTCAACTCCCTGGACCTCACCTGTGATGAGATGCTTAGCGACAACCAGAGCATGCCTAAAAATGGTCTCCTGATAATCATCCTGGGTGTGATCTTCATAGAGGGCAATTGTGCCCCTGAAGAAGACATCTGGGATTTCCTGAATGTGATGGGAGTGTATGCTGGGAGGGATCATTTCATTTATGGGGAGCCCAGGAACCTCATCACCAGAGATTGGGTGCAGGAGAATTATCTGGAGTACCGGCAGGTGCCTAACAGTGATCCTCCATGCTATGAATTCCTGTGGGGTCCCAGGGCTCATGCTGAAACCAGTAAGATGAAAGTTCTGGAGTTTTTGGCTAAGATCAAAGGGACTGACCCCATTTCCTTCTCATACTGGTATGAGGAGGCTTTAAGAGATGAGGAAGAGAGAGCCCAGCGCAGAATTGGTTCTGTGGATAATACTACTTCCATGTTCATTGCACAGCATTGGTCAGCAGCTTCTCCTGCCCCAACTGAAGAGTGAGCCCAGATCTTCATGCTGTATTTGAAGAGGTCAGTCCTGGCTCTGAGTAGAGGAGGGTCAGGGTCAGGCTGGGGAAAACACAGTATACAACTTTGTGTTCTTCTTCTATATGGATGATTTGGAAGTTTATCTTTTTTTTCCTTTTGGTATTCTTCAAATGCTGTTTTTTTAATAAAATGTTTATTAGCTTTAGAATCTAAGTATGTAAATGAATTTGTCACACACCTATTGCTGTTTATCAGATTTAAGAATATTAGTTTTGATATTTTACAAAACAAACTGGGGAACCTTCCCTCTTATTTTGTGATCTGGAACAAGATAACATGATACTGGAATAGGAACTTCCTTGGAAATGTGAAAGAAAATGGAGAAAAAATGTAAAATGTGGTTAATTTTTGGATTCCCTTAATCACTTTAGTTATTGTTCTGTAAAATTAAAAGATACATATCTGGATTTGCTTGGCTTACTGAAGAAAGTAGGCATAATCTTAATAAATCTTATTTTAAAAAACCCTGCTTACTGACTCATTTATTCGCCAAACATTAATTGGATATTTTCTCCTTGGAAAGCACTGTGTTAATAGTGGAAATACTAGGATAAACAAGACACACCCCTAATCATAAAATGGTAGGTGCTAGGAGTAGCAATCAGGAAGATGGTGAGATGTCTTCTAATACCTAAAGAACAAGTAAAAACAAGGAGTGATGAGGTAGATCTCCAGATGCGAGCAGTCAAGTAGAAATGCCCAAAGCTGAGGCAATTTAGGGCTTTGGGAAACTGCAATTCCTGCTGTGGGTGGTAGCAGGGGCCAGTCTGTCAGGTGATGTGTTCTAGAAGTAACAGAAAAGCCTGGAATAGAAAACCGCTTACTAGTTCTTTTTGTATCATGGATAAGCTGGAGAAATCTCCACCTGGAACGAGTATGGAAGATATTCTGAACTCTTGTCTCAGTGTAGTTAACACAGCGCACTTAACTAGGTGTCCTATATACATCATCTGCAATGATTTCTTGAGAATAGAGTGATACTCCCTTGAGGTGGTATCCAGAAGCCACTAAGCTAGCACTCTTCCCTAGCCAGAGGGAGCCAGAGCCCACTCCATTAGAATAACATTAAAGGTAAGGTTATCTTGAGTGTAATTTGGCTAAATCTAAGCAGATCTAGGTTTTGGTGGGAGTAAAATGATTGAAAATAGTGTTTTGGATGGATGAACAGCTAGGAGGGAAGGAAGGAGTTGGTCTTTGACTCAAATTTTGGGAACCTTTTAGTTATATCAGCTGAGAAAGACTGACACATAGCCAAATTATATATCCTCTAAGAGGGAAAATTTAATGAATTTTATTTGTGAAGCAACATTTTTGCCTAATTTGACATTCTGACTCCTCTTGAGCTACATATTATCTGAGATGTCCTGGATGAGCACAAAATCCCAGAGGAGAGGGCAGTAGGGTCTGGGGACAAAATAATATTAGAAATAACTGCTATTTACTAAAGATCTGATAAATGCCAGGCACTGTACCAGATACTTTACATACATTCCAGTTGTCTTAGAAGACAGGGCTCATCAAACCCATTTTACAGATGATGAATCTAAGGCTCACAGCGACTGGTAATTTCCCCAAGATTATACTGCTAGTAAGTGATGTGGCTGGGACTAGAACCCTGGTCTGAATTCATCTAGGATCCATGTTGGTTCCACTCATAGCCTGAGGCAGGTCTTCTGTCGCTTAGCCAATTCTTCCTGCTCGGCAGGAAGCCTACTTCTCCCTCTCCTACTCCCCCTGCTTGTGTTCCCTCTCTCGCCGTCCCTCTCTCTCTGTCAAATAAATAAAAAAATCTTTAAAAAAAAAAAAAACAGACATAGAGAAGGGGATGTGAAGAATGGAATCAGAGATTGGAGTGATGCATCTGAAAGGGAAGGAACGTCAAGGTTTATTGGCAATCTCCAGAAGCTAGGAGAAAGCCATGAGATAGAGTTCTTCTTCAAAGTCTGCAGAAGGCACCAACTTGCTGGCACCTTCATTTTGGACCGTTGGCCTCCAGAACTGTGAAAGAATAAATTTCTATTGTTTTAATCCAGTCAGTTTGTGGTAATTTGTTACGGCAGCCCTAGGAAGCTAATATATGGTCATCCCCCCTGGGTGTATTTAAAAACCTCTCAGTGTTTTCCAGATGGGCTTGTGAGTAGGGTCTGATGTGATGTGTACTGGTTATTGGGATATAATTCTGAAGTCAGATTATTTTTGAAACCACCCTGATATTTGCAGTAGGATTTTAATGGGATGTATTTTTTGGAATTGTCCACTGAACACATACACAGATGAATGAGTTTACCATGTGGTTAAAACCCAAAGCCTCAAAACAAAATAAAAAACAAAACAGGAGTTGAGATGGTGGAGGAGTAGAGGGACCCTAAGTTTGGTCTCTCAAATACAGCTAGTTATCAATCATTCTGAACACCCAAGAAATTAATCAGAGGTCTGGGAGAACAAATACTGCAAGTCTACAAGTAGAAAAATGACCACCTTTTGGAAGGTAGGAGGTGTGGAGACTTGAATCTGGTGTGATATTGCTGTGGATATGGTGATGGGGACAGAACCTACTTAAGGAGGCTACTGCAAAGTATTATAAGCAGTGGAGTGCAAAATCGGAACTTTTAGAAGTCTGTTACAGTGGCGGATGTGCTTGGCTCAAAGGTGCTCAGGTGGCGAAGCGGGGCAGAATGCCAGGTGTGACACTGTGGTCTGAGGATTCCCTGGGTCACAAGAAGAACAGGTGGTGCCTTAGTGTTGCACTGTTCCCAGGCATAGGAGTGTGGTAGCTGGCTGAGAGCAAAGAGTCTAGGTGTTGGCTTTCTGCCCTGTATTGCCATAAACTGTGAACAACTGCATGGTTGTACTGACCACTTTCCTGGGACTGGTCAGCAAAAGGCAGAAGCACGGTGAGACCCTCCTCAGGAGGAACAGCAGGTCTGCACAGCAAGAGTCCCTAAAATTTGGAGTTTTGAAACTCAGTTGTGTGCCTGAGATAAAAAAAAAGCTTGGACCCAGGCAGGGTGAACACAGGGTTCTGATGGAAAACGGGGAACCAAGAGTGATTGATTGCTCTTCTGTGAGGGCTCACTGAAGAGTGGGGGGTGTGAATTTTCAGCTCCAGGGCTAGAGAGCTGGGTGCCGCCATAGTCATCTGGCCCATCAGCGCTGAAAGACACGAGGGGGCAAAACAGCGCCACCTAGTGGAGTCCAGAGCTGCTTACACCAAGCCCTACCTCCCTGCGCTCTCGAGGCACATTTCCAATAGCGCCAGTCCCCCTGAGAATCAGAGCAGCAGACTCCTGCCCCAGAAGACCAGCACAAATAACTTCACACCAAGTTTACTGATCATAGGGTGCTGCAAAGCTTCAGCTCTAGGGGAAAATAGGATCTAGCCTCCTTTGTACTTTTATTCTTTATTTTATTATTTTTCACTTATTTTCTTATTCTTTTTAAGTTTTTATTACTAGATTTTAAAACAAAGTCTGTAATAAGAGATGAAGAAGGACACTATATCATAATAAAGGGGTCTATCCAACAAGAAGATCTAACAATTTTAAATATTTATGCCTCTAACTTGGGAGCAGCCAAATATATAAATCAATTAATAACAAACTTAAGAAACTCATTGATAATAATACAACAATAGTAGGGGACTTTAACAACCTACTCACAGCAATGGACAGATCATTTCTAAGCAGAAGATCAACTAGGAAACAAGGGCTTTGAATGACACACTGGACCAGATGGACTTAACAGATATATTCAGAGCATTTCATCCTAAAGCAGCAGAATACACCTTTTTTTTTTAAGTGCACATGGAACTTTCTCCAGAATAGATCACATACTGGGTCACAAATCAGGACTCAACCTGTACAAAAAGATTGAAATCATGCCATGCATATTTTCAGACCACAGTGCTACAAAACTTGAAGTCAACCACAAGAAAAAATTTGGAAGGACCACAAATATATGGAGGCTAAAGAGCATCCTACTAAAGAATGAATGGTCAACTAGAAAATCAAAGAAGAAATTTAAAAATACATGAAAACAAATGATAATGAAAATACAATAGTCCAAAACCTTTGGGATGCAGCAAAGGCAGTCCTAAAAGGGAAGTATATAGCAATACAGATCTTTCACAAGAAGCAAGAAAAGTCTCAAATACACAACTTAACCTTACACCTAAAAGAGCTGGAAAAAGAACAGCAAATAAAGCCTAAATCTAGCAGGAGAAGAGAAATAAAGTTTAGAGCAGAAATCAATGATATAGAAATTAAAAAAAAAAAAAAGTAGAACACATCAATGAAACCAGGACTGTGTTCTTTGAAAGAATTGACAAGATTGATAAACCCCTAGCCAGACTTATCAAAAAGAAAAAAGACACAAAATTATGAATGAAAAAGGAGAGATCATAACCAACACCGCAAAAATACAAACCATTATAAAGGAATATTATGAGCAATTATATGCCAACAAATTAGGCAATCTGGAAGAAATGGATAAATTCCAAGAAACATATAAACTATCAAAACTGAAACAGGCTGGGGCTCCTGAGTGGCTCAGTTGGTTAAGCATCTGCCTTCAGCTCAGGTCATGATCCCCGGGTCCCAGGATTGAACCCCACATTGGGATCCCTGCTCAGCAGGGAGCCTGCTTCTCCCCCTCCCTCTGTTTGCCACTCCCCCTGTTTGTGCTCTCTCTCTCTCTCTGTCAAAAAAATAAATAAAATTTTTTAAAAAAGAAAAAAACTAAAACAGGAATAAATAGAAAATCTGATCAGACCCATAACCAGCCAAGAAATTGAATTAGTCATCAAAAATCTCCCAACAAACAAAAATCCAGGGTTGGATGGCCTCCCAGGGAATTCTACCAAACATTTAAAGTGGAGATAATACCTATTCTTCTCAAACTAATCCAAAAAATAGAAATGGAAGGAAAACTTCCAAACTCGTTCTATGAAGCCAA